GCGCATCCATCGACCAAGGCGCTGGACTATTCCCTGGTGGACAAGCCCATTGTATCCACGGTGCGGGGTCTGCGCTGGGGCGTCTATGTGGGTTCGCCCCAGCTGAAGCCTCCCTCCTGGGCGAACATACACAAGATACCCGGCACCGAACATTTGGTGAGCTTCAGCAACACGAATGTGGTGTACGCCTTGCCGGGACGGGCGGCTGTCATGCAGGGAGCCGAACCGGACACATATAACGTGATCTCCTGGGGCTACGACGATCGCATTGTGAGGATCCAGCCGCTGAATAAACCTCAAGCGAAGCCCAAGAATCTGCTGCACAATGGAACCTTCGATGACATCACCGCCTGCGGCTGCGATGTGAACTCCAATCAGCTTTGGTTTGGCCACAAGTCCGGGCGGGTGAGTGTGTACAAGTGTGCCGGCGGTTTGGACACCCAGCAGCGGGCTACGGCCAAGAGTCGGCAGAGCTATGCGCGAGGCTTTAGCCTGTCATACAACTCTGCTTTCCGCAAGATGACCAACAAGGGCATGGGTTTGGTTGGATCAGAGGAGGCGAGCGGTGGCCTACATGCCACTCATTCGGCTTCATCAGTCAACTCTGCAAGCAATTCCTCTAGCAGCGATGGCTTGCAACGGGACGGTGCCGACTTGACCTGGCTGGGTCCCACCCTACTGGTGCGGCACACCGACGAGATCACCTGCATAGCCCTGTCCGTGGAGTTTAAGATTGCTGTGACTGCAGGCCGAGATGGGATTGCTGTTATCTGGGATCTCAATGAGTAGGGTTATCCACCAACAAATCTCCATTATCCATCCTCTAATTATTCGTTTCTTTCAGTTGGAGTTATGTTCGCACGATTGCCCGTCCGGCGGAGATCCACCAGTCGCCCATTACGCATGTGGCCATTAGTCCCACGTTGGGAGACATTGTCACAGTGCATACGCTGCCCCAGCAGTCCACAGGCAACGCGGATGCACAGCCGCAGGCTGCTGTAGTGAGACCCAATTCTCTGGCTATAGCCGATGAATGTTTCGAGGTAACGGAAGAGAACCTAGATGACTTTGTCAATGTGAACGTCAATCCTAATGGCAAGTCCATTCTACGCCTGCACTCGGTCAATGCCCGCTATGTGCAGCATCTGGTGCACGAGGATCGCATCCTGGCCGTATGTTACTCGTACATTAAGGAAGGAGTGGGTGTCAATGTGATTGCCACCGCTGTGGAGGGCGGCTTTGTGCGTTTCTGGTCCAGTTGGAACCTCAGTTTTGTGAGTGAACTAACTACGGGCACATCGCCCATACGAAGGTAAGTTCGGTGTGCAAGCAAAGGAATGAATTGGTTCACAATTTACTTTTATTTTGCAGCATTAGCTATTCGACACATCAGCATTTGGTGGTGCTGACACGAGAGTCCCACATCCAGGTGTGGCAATCCGAGGGTCTCTACGGCAATGCTCCCAAGTTTCCACAAATTGTCTACAAATGAGGGAAGGAAACAAAACAGAGGAAGTATGTAAACAAATCAAACACCCAAAAGCATATCAATGACACGACGACACATAAAATACAATACCGAAAAAGCTGCTGAATCAAAGGAAATTTTGAGTGGATCCATTAAATGTGTGCTTCAATTGGAAATCAATCTTCACTTGGATCCCATCAAGGTCTATACAATATATCAAAAAACACTTAAGATTCTTATGCATATACATACATATAATAGGGTCTCATAGAGCTGTAAAATACATTTTTTTTACGAAAACTTTTATAACATACGCAACAGACACTTTGTATTTTTTGTTCTTCTTGAGCCGCATACTGATGCCTGCGCTGCCTTCAAATTGTTGATATTATCAAATAAACTATATAATATTTTGCAAAAAATATTTACTTTCCCGTTTAAGTACAAACCATATACAATTCTGATTCACATTGAATCGGTTATACAGAGATGTATAAATGCTAATCAGCCTATTACTAAATACAATTTTGGTCCTGCAAGGCAACTCCAGGTGTCAGCACTTCCAGGGCGGGGCCTTGTTACTGCCGCATCCATTGCGTTTGCTTGGCTTCGAACCCTTTTTGGCGGTTAGGGCCAGGATCTCATCGAGCTTGTCAAAATCACTGGGTGACTTGCTAAGGAGCAGCTCAATATATGCCGCCAATTTGTCCATGGGCGACGGAGGATCCCGTTTGCCCACCGAATCCAAATTGTTCTTCTCCGTGTTGTTGCTACGCTGGGATTTGCTTGTCCTTGGGGTTTCCGGATAGACACGGGCATTATTAAGTTCGGGAGACTCACTGTCCGTGTCACTGGCGGGCATCAGAGAATTCTGTGTTGGGGAGGTAAGAATGGCCAAGGCCTGCTGCCACTGGGCCTCCATTACACCATGCAGCTTCTCCGCAATGTCAGCGCTGGAATGTAAAAAAAAAATGTTCAAATATGAATACGTGTTTTTTTTTTCTTTCTTAAGACAAACGTGTACCGCTTGTTCTTGTAGAAACTCAGCTTGAGTTCTAGTTCATCGATCTTCTTCGACGCATTGCCCAGCTGCAGGCGATAGAGTTCCACCTCCTCGTCATGCTTCTCCTGAATGAGATTCAGCTCTTGGTTATTTTTCTCGTTGATCATTTCCAGTTGCTTCACAGCACGCTCTGCTATCAGGCGCTCCCGGTCACGTGCCTCACTCTTTAGATTCTCCTCGGATTTGTCCAGTTGATTCTGGAACTCCTGCATCTTTTTGGCCACCACATTCTCCATTTGCTGCTGATAGTGTTGCTTCATAGATTTCTGTTGTATCTCTAGCTTTTTCTTAAGGTTCGTCTGTAATAGAATCCAATATTATTTGATTCTTAATGAAATAGAAGGAAGAACTATCTACCTCAACTTCTGTTAGATTTGCCAACGTCTCTTGCATTGACTTTCGTTGTGTTTCCAGAGAATCTGCTCGGGATTTCTGCTTTTGATGATAATCTTGAAGCATTTCCTTCTGATGTCTAAGCGTGGTATTCTCCGTCTCCAGCTCCTCTATGTGTGCTTTAAGCTAAACATGTAGAAAAATACTTTTTAAAAGGTTTGTTTTGGTGGTTTCTTTGCCAAAATTACCTTCTCCTGCTGATAGTCTACTTTGGCGAATTTGTCCCTCAGTTTGTTTAGTTCTGCATGGGATAGTTCCTCGGCTCTCTTACTGCCATGGAGTTGCATTTCCAGTTGCTCAAACTTTTCATCCCATTCTTTGGCTTCTTGCTGGTGCCTGTCCAGATCTGCCTCCATCTTCTCGTGCCTCTCTTGGAACTTGGTGGCTAAGCCGACTGCCTGAGCCAGCTCATGCTGCAGAGCTTCCATTTTGCCATGTGAGTCACTCCGTTCTGCCTCCAGCCTGTGTAGAACGTCTCGGAGTTGTTGCACCTCAAAGTTGAGATTCGCTGCTGCTTGCTCGGCCCTGTTTAGTGCTTCATCTTTGCTACGATCCACCTCCATGGCCACGGAGATGCGCTGCTGATACTCCAGTAGCTGTGATTGCAGCGTTTGCACAGTTTTCTCCAGATGATGACGACGCAGCTGCTCCTCTTTCAGAGAGGGGCTGCACAGAAGAGGATTGGGTGTGTTGTTCGCGATGACTGTACCCCCCATGCAGCTCTTGCCCCAGAGATCACTTAAGCTGATGAGCTTGTTGTTGTCACTGAGACTACCGCGCGGTAATCTAGCCGCTTCTATGGATGCCGACGTTGATGTCATCCGAATGCTAGGCAGGGAAGTGGCTGCCGGATGTCCATCATGCACGACACGGAAGTTTCGCAGGTGCTCATCACTGTGGTGCTGATGATGGTGTGGCTGCTGCTGCCAGCGATTCGTATTGTTTTCATCCAGGTAATGGTCAATCTCCAGCAGAATGTTATCCTCCCTAAGGCGAGGCCTTGGCGGTTCCACCGATCCACCCTTGGGTGTGGAATGCACCACGCCATGGAACTCTTTCGGCAGCCTGGTGCCCGCCGTCGTACGCACAGTATTTGTGGAGATTGTGGAAATATCGGATGGCACATCAAAGTGTCCCTTATCGTCGCCATCCAGTTCAATGTTCTGCAGTCGAGCATTTATCTGATTCAGTTCCGATTTCTTACTGGGTGGAAGAAACTGATATGCTGCCGTCGTGGGTACTGGCGGTGGTGGCATGACAAGTGCATCCGCTGCTGCTGACGCTGCCGCGGCTGTGTCCATTTTGACTTCTTGTAGCAAACGCTCGGCCGTCTGGGTGTAGTAGTTGGGCGGTACCATCAACAACAGATCGGTGTCGTCCGTATCGGTATCACTCATGCCTTGAACATTCTCCAACCAGCCCCAGATGCTCCTAAAGCCCAGACCTGCAGTAGACGCAATTTTTTTGTTGGCTGCTATGGCGACGCGTAAACAATGGAGGTGACGTTAGTTGTTCGATAAATGCATAGCGGTATTTTGGGATTCCATTCTTAGGAATCAGAAATACCAAACACATTAACCCATTTTTTCCTTGGGTATACTCTTTTTGGAAAAATTTTACTGTTTGTAATATTATTATATATTATTAGGTTGTATTATAGTTTTTATCCGATTGTTGCCCCAGACGAACGTTGCCATAGCAAAATAATTGCATATTTGGTACACACAAAAACCTGTTTGGTATTTAAATATCAATTTTCATTAGACTTAGTTTGAGGCAAGATATGTCAACATATCGCTGTTAAAGGACACCCGGAATCATTAAAAAACCAAATTCAAAGGTGAATGCTGTTTGGAAATTCTACTTAAAGATTCGTCTCCATGTTCACCTAATAACAAATTTTATTGCGATACCTTTCACTAGTTCGGCGCTAAAATTCTTAAAGTTTTATTTTCTTTGGTATTTAAATACCCATGGCCATTAATGGGTTAAACTATACAGAAAATGAGAGTCGATATTTAATGCCAGAAAAATCCCATAACAAACTTCATGTTTTTGTGAGTGAGTTTAGAATTTGCGTCTGAAATTTTTTTTTCCCGCGCAGGGGGAAATTTTTGATTCCGGGATGGCAGCTGTAAGCTTAAGCATAAACGGGGAGCCGGCCGTCCTTCTGCAGCCCGATACTGTTTACCGCATTGGGCGTAACGAAGCATATGAGTTCTGTGTCGCCGATGAAGTAAGTACAGGCAAATGTGTAGTTCTTCCCCAAAGATGAAAACATTGCTTTGTTTTAAACTTGTGCGCCTTAGTCCATGGAGCTGTTTCATGCTTTGGCAATTGTCTATCGAGCGGGTGTCCTTCGCGTGACTGCGCTGATGGGAAAGGTATTCGTGAATGGCCTGGAGAACGGCAATGTGGACATCAGCCGAAAGGATGCCATCGATGGAAAGGTAAAGTTACGCTTCGGTAATGTGGCAGCCGAAGCGCAAATGATGGAACCTATTCAGGTATGTGTATCCCAGAGTGGCTCAAGGAAATACATAAAAAACATTGACATATTTCAGCACCATGATAGCAGTGGATTCGGCGAATCCCTCAAGGACACATCCGTCGATACAACATCAGACAGTCTCGTTATACCAGAAACGGAGGTGCAGTCGGTCAACACAAGTGCTAATACAACGGTTGGTAGCTTCTTTGTACCCGAAACCCAAGCTGTGGTCTTTGATAAAGGAGTCTCGAAGGGCGGCAAAGTTTCGCTGGGCGATGACTTCATGATACCCGAGACGCAAGATCTCCTTAGTACTCCACCAGTTGTTGTCCACAATGAGAACTCCAATTCTATCGATGAAGATGCCTCTGAAATGGGCACGCAGATACGCATTTGCACCCAGGAATTCAATAATTTCGATGAGGATGCATTTGATGACTTTGATTCATCTATGATAATGGGAGATTCTGTGACGGCACTATCGCTTCGTCAGCGCATTGAAAACAAAAACAAGCAGGGTATGTAGAACCTATTCAGATATGTAATTATTATCATTTAGATAATTTTTCCGGCTTAGATGTCGATGAAAAGGACCTGGAACTGAGTGCCTTAAATTGGTCTGCAACCAATCCAAAATGCACTGTTTTGAATAGCACCAAGGCGGGAGAATTGTCTCCTCGCGAACTTGCTTGTATTACACCAGACCTATCCGGCCAAAATCCATCTCAAAATGCAGGAAATTGTACTCCTGATCTATTTGATTTGATGAATGCTGGTAATGTACTGTCCGAGAGATCCGCCACACCAACGCTTTGCGGGCTAAAGCAGTTGATTGTGGCCACCATAGAGACACCAACAGCAACTCCTATCGAAGTGGAGGACAAAGAAAATCAGGACTTTATTGTCACTCCGAGCAAAGAGCCAGCAAGCGAATCTCCCAAAAATGGCAACGAAAATAACGAAACTAATCAGGATTTCATTGCCACTCAGCCGTTTCCCTTTCACTTAAAGCGCAAGCAAGAAAGATTGCAAGCAACCGAATCTCTTAAAGATCGCCCCGATGGCGAGCTCATAAATCAGGATTTCATAGAAACTCAGCCATTTCCTTCGAAGCTCAAACAAAATGCCTTGAAAGCAGCCGACTATCCTAAAGACCGCAGCTATGAGGAGGAAACTAATCAAGATTTCATTGCCACTCAGCCATTCCCCTTATGGAAGAAGAAAAATAGGAACGCAGCTGAATCAACTGAAGAACACCGCGACAGTGAGGACAATCAAGATTTTATAGCCACGGAGGCATTCCCTTCGATAAGCAAGCAAGCAAGTAAGAACGCTCCAGAAAATAAAGAGAACATTCCAGTTGAAAAAAATGATACAGAACCCAAAGCTTCTACTTCCAAAGGCGCAAAAGGTAAGATAAGAAGATCATTGCACTATTAATGTCAGTACAATTTTACTCATTCCCTATTTAATAACAGATTTGAATTCCCGTACATATAATGAAATCATGGAGATACTGGACAAAATGGCTGCAGGCTTTCCACAGCCGCCTGATGATCCAAACGAACCTCAAATTAAGTTCGTTAAACCTTCCATTATTATGGATGAAAACTATAATGCTAAGGTTTGTTGAACGTATGTACATCCCCGCATGACTTCGTATAATATTTTTCCAACTCTACAGGTTGCCCGTCTAGAATCCATCTATCCGGACGGGGGCAGCAAGCGGCTTTGGGGTTTACCGAAATTACCCGAAGTCTTGAATAGCCGCATAGCCGGATCGGAGTCACCTCCACGTACTAGTAGGTTTCCAGGTGTTTTTGCATATGCGCCGGCCTCGCTTAATACGGATCTTAAATGACTGGGAACCAGAGTGTCGTGTCGTGCTGAGTTCCAGAAGAACACGTTTTCGACCATTCATATTTTCTTGATCATGCCTGTCTGTCCGTCTCGATGAACGCCTTGATCTCAGAAACACTAAGAGCTGAAGCAGCCGAATTGTGTATCCAAATTTTGGTTCGCCCGACCGTCTTCCGCCCCCACAAAGAACGAAAATCTGTGGCATCTACAATTGTGAAGATACGAGAAAATCGAAAACGTGGAATCATAGAGAATGGCCAGTTCTATCAGTTTGCCAAATCTAGATCAGTGGCTACGCTAATCATTCTCTCTTTCTCACTCTTAGCCGTGCAGCTAGATGTTACGGCTGGTGTGGGTGTAAGAAATGAGAGAGAGAGAGAGACATAGCAGTTGCAGAAAAATATTTTTCTCGCTATGTTTTTTCCATCTCTTATGACAAGTGCCAGCTAAGAGATCGCGGATCGATCCCATCCCTCCCCGCGCTAACCAACAATTCGTCCCTTTAAGTCATCGGCTCCGATGCCTTTGCAAATAATTTTTACAAATATTACAACGATAAATATTCATTAAAAATGAAACCTTCTTAAGCGAGGCCTTTGTGTAAATGAAAATAATCAGGAATTAATGCAACAATCCTTACCAACAGCAAGAAACGCATGTCAACGACGCCTTTCAGACGAATCACCCAGAATTGAGCCCAGAAAACGGCCAGCGGCTGCAGAAAACTCACCCGAACGTAAGGTTTTGGAGTTTATGATCTTCAACCTGCTGAATTATCGTTTTCTTGCAGCTAAAAATAAGATCAGCCGTCTACCTTTGAATTCGTTTATTGAAGAAGAGGATAAAAAGGCAGCTGACAAGGAGAGTGCGCCGGAATTGGTGGTCACTAACACACAGCTCGATGTTGCTTCGCATTCCAAAGTAAAGAAGACAATCGGACCCCAAAAAGAGGAACAGGCATCTGACATGGAAAGTTCACCGGAATTGGTGGTCAAGGTGCGGCCGGGTAGATCAAAGAGGTCGACTAGCACACAGCACGATTCTGCTTCGCATTCCAAAGTAAAGAAGACAATCGGACCCAAAGAAGAGGCACAGGCATCTGACAAGGAGAGTACGCCGGAATTGGTGGTCAAGGTTCGGCCGGGTAAATTAAAGAGGTCGACTAACACACAGTTCGATTCAGCTTCGCATTCCAAAAAAAAGAAAACAATCGAACCCCAAAAAGAGGAACCGGCATCTGACATGGAAAGTTCACCGGAATTGGTGGTCAAGGTGCGGCCGGGTAGACCAAAGAAGTCGACTAGCACACAGCTCGATTCTGCTTCGCATTCCAAAGTAAAGAAGACAATCGGACCCAAAGAAGAGGCACAGGCATCTCACAAGGAAAGTTCACCGGAATTGATGAGCAAGGTGCGGCCGGGTAGATCAAAAAGGTCGACTAGCACACAGCTCGATTCTGCTTCACATTCCAAAGTAAAGAAGAAAATTGAACCCAAAAAAGAGGAACAGGCATCTGACATGGAAAGTTCACCGGAATTGGTGGTCAAGGTGCGGCCGGGTAGATCAAAGGGGTCGACTAGCACACAGCTCGATTCTGCTTCAAATTCCAAAGTAAAGAAGAAAATTGAACCCAAAAAAGAGAAACAGACAGCTGACAAGGAAAGTTCATATTCCAAAGTAAAGAAGACAGTCGAACCCAAACAAGAGGAGCAGGATGTTCCAGATGCATCACGCAGTCGATTAAGAAACGCAAAAACAATCGACAAGATTCAGGAAAAGGCAGCCAAAATTGGGAATACACCCGAAGAAGGAGTCGTTGAAAAGATAGCAAGCAAGCGAGTAGGAAGACCTAGAAAGATCAAAACACCAACATCAACACCGCAGGACACCATACAGAGTAAGATAAAGAAGGAGAACCCACCAGAGAAAGAAAATGCGAATACTAGTGCAGTCGCAAAACGGAGGGTGGGCAGACCTAGGAAGTCCCAAACACCAACAGAGGATAAACCAGAGATAAAACCAAAAGGTAAGAGAAGTGAGACATCATCTACAACAGATAAGATCATTACGAGGAACACGTCAGAGGAGAAAGCTAAAGGAGAACCACAATCCAAAGCTGCTGAAACTCGAGAATCGGTTGTCATGGTCAAAAAAAAGCAGCTAACAAAATCGACCTCTGTCACTGAAGAGGATAATGGACCAACTACAAGTACTGCAGCAGCAGCAGCACAAAAGGAAACTCTTGGGCTAAGGGGAAGATCAATTATTAGTAAGTAAAAATGTATATTGTGTTCATTGCCAATTGTTTCAAGAGCAAGGGTGTCGTCCCGTTTTCCACTTTGAAGAATAAATATTTTTGAACCCTTGTGGAACCTGTATATGTCTTGTACAAATATAAACGCCCAGTCTACATTTTGATGATTATTAATTTTCTCACAGGCACAGGCACAGGCACAGTCGCGTCATCTCAAGAGAATGCCCTTAAAGGTAAATATGAATAGATAAGTGCTTTCAGCGACAATCATTAATACCCGATTCCATTTTCCAAAGCCATTAACGAACATGTGAGGAAGGCAAAAGGACAAGGAAAAATCAAAATAGCATTCTCGATGTGTAATCTAGCTGAGCTGGCGTCAGTTCTGAAGGCCTTGAAGCGTAAGAATTTGGAGCAGCATTGACATATAATAACATTTATCTACAAATATCACCCTAATCTTTCAGATTCTGTGGAGAAAACGGATGATCCCCTGAACTGCGACGTCCTCATCATGGACAAGGGTGATCGCACGTACAAATTCCTGGTGGGAATAGCTGCCAGTAAACCTATACTCTCCAGCTCCTGGCTTCAATCCATGAGGGCATCGTCTCGTGCAACTGTTCAGACAGAACACCTCTTCTCAGACTCAAACTTCGAGAAGTTGTACAAATTCGATCCCCTAATGGCAATGCAGCATCCACAATTGTTGAGTGGGCTTAACTTTATGCTCTGCGAGGGTATCCAACCGAATCAAAAAGAAATGAAAGGTAAGTACTGTAAACACATTTCAGGCTTTTTTCCCCCAATACTATAACATTCGTTGGCCTCCCCTTTAGCAATCATTGAAAGTGCTGGTGGAAAGGTCCACAAAGAACCGCCAGCGCAGGAATTGAATCTGTATGTCATAACTGTAGCCAAGGATAAAAAACGCTACAAGCGAATCCTGCAAAATCGTGCCCATGTCCAGTACATAACCACAGAGGGCATCATGAAGACACTGGTGCAGCATAATCTGGATTTGTTAAACGACCCTAAGGTACAAATTTGAGTCGCGTCTCAGTAAATTGTGCCTTGTTCCTTTTTTTGTGTGGCCATATATATTTCATGTTAATTTTTTTGAAATTACTAAATACATCATAAGATTGTGCTTATTATCTACTCCAATTTCTTTCGCTTGGATCCTGTGGGCTTGTCAAACTGCTGCCGCATGCCTCCCGCGTGTTCATTGTGGAACTTGATGTTGTTCGAGGTCTCCGCATACCAGGGACAATCGAACTTTGTTGTATCCTGATCCACTAAATGAGTGTACTTGGTGCGGCCGCAGCGACCGAAGTTTTTCACCTGCATCACCTTGGGCAGGATGGTCTTGTCGAAGTGATCCTCAAGCGTTGCCTGGGCAAAGTCTCGTTTCAGCACATCGTTCTCCTCGTCCAGGTAGAAAGCACCGCGATGATAGTATTTCTGCAGGAATTTGTATTTTCCTTTGGTGGCCTTGTTGGTGACCATTTTGGGATTCTGCCGGAGCTCCTGGCGTCGTTCCTCTTCGTTGAGACCACGGACCCGGTCGATTTCCAGTTTCTCTCGTTCGGTGCTGCAATTAAAACATTTAATTGTGGTTCACAATTACGCTCATGAGCTACTTACTTGTCGCGTTCTTCGCGGTCCCGCTTCATTCGCTTGAGCTCGCGAAGCTTCCAAGCCTCGTACTCCACTTCGTCGTTGTCGTCGTCCGTGCACACATCTTCTAGGCAGGCTTCATTCGACTCCGGCTTGGTCTTCTCCAGGTCTTTCTTAACGCTGTCCTCCACCATTCGCAGGGTGGCTCGCCTCCGCTCCTTGGCCGCTCTTTTGGCCTCCGCCTCTATTTGTTTTTGTTTCTGAGCTTCGCGCTCCTTTTCCTGAATGGTCGCCCGATCTTTTTTCCTTACAAACAGGGGCTTAAGACGTGGCTCGTTGTCCTCCTCGCTTTCGCTTTCTTCTTCGTATTCAGAGCTCTCTGTTTCTGAAGATTCCGATTGCTTTTCATCCTCTTTTTGGAGCACCTCCTCCTCGCGCTGTTGCTGCAGCATTCTCGCTCTCAGCTTTGTACGCCGATTCTCCATTTCCGTGTCACTGAGCTCCGCATCTGTGTCGGATTCGGAGGCAAGTGTAATCTTGTTGGTTCCCCGCTCGAGGTTCTTCTGCTCCTCTGCGTCCTCTTCTTCATCTTCACTGTCACTCTCCACCATCTCGGGCTCGTGGATGTGTCTGTGGCGTTCCCTTCGTTCTCGTTCCATGTCCTCCATATCCACAGGGCGTGCACGCAGGCGTCGCAGACGTGGATCATCCACCTCGGCCTCATCGCCGTCCTCGGCAGGCTTTCCGTCGGCGCTGCCTCTTCGGGCCAGCTCCATCTTGTGGCGTTCAGCCTTGTGGCGCTCCATGCGCTTCCGTGTGTCAATGAAGTCATCCTCATCGCTCTCGTCCGTGCTGGAGTCAACGCGGGCATATTCAGGACGCTTGCCAGATATATATCGCTGGACTTTAACTTTCTGCATGGAAATCTCGCCTGGAAAATCATTGTAAACAACGAGATTGATTGAGATTCATAATTTATCCGCATCATCGCAGTCCAATTAACTTTACCTTTCTCATTGCGCACGGGAACAGCACCCGCAGTACTCTGAATGCCCGAAGGGGCAACGGGAGCACTCATTTTGTGCACTTTACAAAATTTTTAATTTTTTATTTAATTTGCTTATTTTTTAGGTGTGTGACCAGACTTATCGATAAAATGTACCGTCCGACCCCCAGAAATGTACCAAAATATACCGTCTCATTTTAAAAATATACCGTTAATATACTGAGGAATTCAAGTTCTATATTCCTCGATTTTTATATTCCGTGGAATATTACTAGCTTTCTAGCACATTTAGCCATGCCCACATAATTTAATTCGATTAATTAATCAATTTTCTACTTGACCGGCACATTAAATACTTGGCTTTGCTTGTTTTTGCCTCAATTTTGGTTTCTCAACAACAATATAGCGACTCGTATGATGGAAAACCGAGCTTAGCCCACTTAAGCCCCCTATATTTAAATAGTTCAACTACACGAGGTAAATGGCGGAATATATTAACGATTGTAAATTCTTATAGATCCATCCTATCCTTCCCTTTAAGTTGCCAAACCCCACGAATCTTTCATCGGAACTGCACTAAAATTCTTCAAGATTCATAATTTTTCTTTTTTTAATAAAGGTCTGCAATGGGTTAATCGTTCTCTGCCCATGATCGGAATATTCTTTGATTTCAATATTCGGCTCAATATTACTAGCTAGCTAAGATTTTTAGCACTGAAAACATTATTTTATTTGATTGATGAATCAATTTTCTACATGACTGGCTTAATTGGATTGTTTATAAAATAAGTTTGAAGCAAAAGATGAACAAAAATGTTAATATGTATACATGATAGATATACGGTATTCGTTATCGATAACGATAAGGCGGGCGTTAGCAGGCCGTTTCAAAACGAAATTCAAAATGATTCATCTTCATTTCCGCAAGGATAAAATTGATTGGTTTCAAATGTGTGAATAACGGAAGTGCTATGACTTAGCACCCCCTAGTATGAAGCCACCAACTAATTGAGACACCAATTAACGATACATATAACACGGGTCGGGCTCGGCTGCATATTTTAGCAATGTCAACGCCCACTCTAATTAATGTAATAATTGACAAATTGACTACTACGCTTTCTTTTAGACAATTCATAAATATTATTGGGTGGCAGACGCGTTCTTGTGTAATATCTTGAATGAAACCGAACAGAGAATATTGTTCAAAATATACTTTTGATTGATATTGCGTTTGTTGGTTCGTTACGACAGCACGCACGCAGCACGTGTGGCCCGCCGGCTGGTTCTGTTCTTTTGTGGTCTTGAAAGAGACAACGGCCGGCCTGCCCATACCGGACCAAAGTCCAATCACATCTCATGAGTGAGAGGCTCGACCAGTTTTGTGACGTTTGAAGTGGCTTGCATCTTATAAACAAACTTTCCGTTGTTGCTGCTGTTGTTAGATCGTTTCGGGCCTAAACACTGCGTCGCATTTGCCGAACTGCTTTAAACTGCTTTCGGCTGGCTAGTGGAACGGGCAAGATTTACATCAGGCTAGGCTGTTAGTTAACTATATGGCGGGAATATTTAATTAATGCAACACGCTTCAAAGCTCAACTGCATAGCCATAGCCACTGCCCTGGGTAATCTCTCCACGTTTCCATCGACACCAGCCGGTGTCTACAGTGACCTTATACCAAGGCGGTGCGTTTTGGAGACTTTCCGCTGGCGGGGAAGCCCCCAATAAATTTGACATTAATTTGTTGATCTTCTTCTGATCTTGATTGCTGTTTTCCCCATCAATTCCTTATACTCTTGGGCATTTCTTTGGGTTCAATGTGAATTTATTGTGATTGATACTTTTTTGAACCAGCCGCCACCTCGCCTTTCAATTCCAGTACACATTACACTTTTATTAGAATTAAGCACTCGCAAGAAATAATTCAAAACAAATAATTTTCTATTAAGAGAAAGAGAGAAAGGGAGAGAAAGAGTGTCATGCCTGATCAAAATCGTACCAGATCGAACTCGTTATCGTTATCCAAGTAAGACCATTACCAGGCGGCAAGGCAATTGAGGCGAGGCGACAAGCACACAAAAAAAAAAGAGTGATAAAATCGCTTCGTATACGAGGCCCATTATTAATTGGCGCACTTTTTTCCTTTGTGACTGGTCTCGGGTTACTTAAAAAGTAATAAAAGAAAATTTTCATTCACAGCACGGGTACATCCATCACGCAAGCCGAAAGCAACTAAGAACACTTAACACATCTTGTTGTCTAACAATTAAACTTTTGTACTTTGTTTACAACGCATTTCATTTAGCATTTAGCCCTGGTCAATTGACGACGATCCACCGTCCACTGTCCTGTCCTGTCCCCCTACCGATGGAGTTTTCTCCGGTATTTTCTGGCGCTTATGCAGAGAGTTTTATGGAATGCACATCTATGGGAATGGAATGAATCATGCGATTCACTTAATTGTACTTTCAGTTCAGGAATCGGAGTACAATGGAATAAATGTCTCAACTTAAAATATGACTGCCAGCAGTTTATCTTTCCTAAGTTTATTTATATTTTTCCAATAGTGTAAACCACGTTTTACTTTAAATTTCAATTGGAATTTCAGTGGAACGAATTTGGCTCCACATTGAAGATCACGTCGTTGTTTGTTTGAAAATATGACAACAAAAATTTGCTGAAAGTGTTGTAAAGATAAAGATTGAGAAAGGTATTGGCATTCGATCTTTCGTAGTCCCCCGCATACGAATTATCGAGGAAGTGCTCGGCTCCCAGGCATTCTATATAGTAAGATACATAGATCTTCGCATTTAAACAAGATTTTCCCTGACGCTATCAATCGACCATCAATTGAGTGCCGCTCGCGCTCGCGCTCTCCCTCTCGCTCTCGGATCTCTGTACGAGCATCACGAAGCATCTTGTGGAGATCGGCAAGCGCATATCCGGCGTCGCTAGGCTTGCGCTGACGCTCGCTTGCTCTTAGTTCGATTTTCGCTCTTGTTTCGGGGCCCAAGACTTTGAAGAGAGAGCCAGAGACCGCCCCGTGGGGTTCCCGCAGTTGGGCCGCTCGGTGATCTGTGATTTGACGCTGCCTTGGCTGCCGGGGGCCTGGCTGTCGTATAAAACAGCGTAACGGACGCTTGCAAAACTCATTCATATGAAAATTGTCAATACGTTCGAACAGCTTTAAGAACACCCAGTGAAAATACAATCAAAGGACAAGTGCTCAAAACTAAAAATTTCACAAAGGACAACCAAACATCTCAAAAAGGGATATATAATACCTAAAGAAAATATCAGTGATCAATATATTCGTTTGGTGAATTCCAAATAAGAGAGAAAAACACGTTAATGAAATACAGAAATAATCAAGGCACAATCCTGCAAATACAATTCAGAACATTTCTAAGATACAATTCTCTATGTGCCTATCCACCTGAGTGCTAAACGAAGACGACAACGAATAAAAATATAATTTAAGGATTGAAAAATCCGACATCAAGGTGAGGAAGTAAATTAATACTGAGGTGAAAGCGGCTTTAGATCGACAAGTATTTCACCGTTTATTAAATGCAAATGAAGCAGACTTTCTACACCAACAATTGTCTCACTTAATAAGTTTTTTTTTAATTCTCATTATTTATGTAGTTTTTATTCAACCAAGTGCCACTTAGAACGTTTGAAATGTATGCCATTGACTGTGTATTTTTATTATCACTAAAACTAGTTAAAAAAAAATTAGGCAAACAATTAAAATTTGTAAAGCAAAAACAAAAAACCAGCTGAAATCAATTTGGAGAACGCATAAATCTATCAAAAAGCAAAGCTGTCGAACATCTCAAATTTCTCAGACCCTCTGACGACTCTGGGCAATTAGCCAAACCCTTTCGCACCCGCGCCCGCCTCCGCCCTGGCCATTGCCCTACCTATTGGGCAATCTTTTTTACAACTGTTACAAGGTCCAAGTATCCCCGTGATAGATCTGTGGCAGCGTCAAGTGCTCCTCTTCATTGGAGAGGACCGGTGAAGTTTGCTGGCACTATCTTTGACCAGATGGGCATGCCCTAACAGCCTGTCTGCCACAAATCATGTCAAATGGTTTATTTTGTTTATATGAATATTAATAATAAAAAAAAAAACGAAAATCGAAAAACGAAAAACCGAACCAAATAAAAAAACAAAACCCAGACATGGCAAACCCCAAAACAAAACACACGCATATCAATTGGCGGAGACGACGAGCTCGAGATATAGGAAAAAGACAAAGATGTTTTCAGATATTTGCCCTGGTCAGTGGTGGGGGGTGGAGGGGTCCCACATGCCAAAGGGGGATAGAAAATGCCACCAATTAAGCCAGGCGCCCTGTCCGTGTCGCCCCCCCCACACACACAATCGTAGAACAGCACCCAGAACGCATACGACCTGTGTACTACAAAGACTGTCTCCAGACAAGAGTGGAAACGTGTTTCTCCCCGGCACCTCTGTGTGGAGGGAACCTTTTCGATTAGGCCGCTCTTCCACGGAGGCATCTTGCTCTGCTCTTACTCTTCGCCTCAGGCCTTGCCAGCAGTAGCTCTCTTCAGATGCGATGGATGGCAAATTTCTGGCCAAAACCGGCGCAATCCGGCTCAAGCCACAAGCCACTGATATAAACCAGTTGAATTCGCTTAAATCTGAATTGGGCGCGGGAGCATTTCTCACTTTTCGCTCAAAACTTTGCTGCCGTTTGGTCTGCCTCTTTCTCAGTATCTGTGTGAGTGTTTGTTTCCGTATTGCATCAGTGTGTGTGTGCGATTGTGTGTGTGTGTGTGTGTGTGTGTGTGTGTGTGTTCCACAGGAGCAGATTTTCTTTAATAGTTTGAATTGGCTGGAAAATTGGGAGCAGGAGAAGCAGGTTCGGTTCTAAGTTCGGTTGATTAAAATAATTGTCAGAGTGTTTGAATCAATTGGATTGTTGATTGATTCGTATGGGTTATCGATTGCAAAATGAGTGTTTTATGATTTAACAATTGAACGCGAATATCAATGAATGTGTAATGGTGGTGGAAATATTGTATGGAAATCAGACACGATGCAAAGTGTCCGACGGGCCAAATGATCATTACGATCTGTACTCCTAAAAGTAGTTCATGCTACATACATATGTACATAAGTAACCTTAAGGTGGCTTTCAGTCTTCACTTTCTCTTGGAGACTCCCTACCAGAATCAGCTTTCTCTTCCTTTCAACATACATATGTCGATTACATATCCCGAAAATCATTTACGAAAGCGTTTCGCCTTGAACGAGTGTGGACCCATAACGAAAATATATTAATAATAAAGCAATTACACCCAAATGGAATTGTTTGTTTAAGGAAATAATATATTTGTACTTGAACATGGAAACTGTGGCCAATGGCCCGTTCGATTCCGTAGCCCCTACCCTCCCTTCAGTCTCCCCTGCTTCTTTCCAGAGATGACTGCTGGTGGAATTTGTGGGGGATCGTTCGCTTAATTAATTAATGGCAGCCAAAGCGACACCCACTGATGGAAAGCTTTGGCGATTGCCGCCTTGGTGCAATTTCTTTTCGGGAACCTTGATCTTGCTATGATCTAAGCCGTATGTTATGCTCTATTCCGTTTCAGTTCGCGAATAACGTTGTGGGGCTTCAGACGGAGAGTGACCCAAGGTGTCTGGCTCGAAGCACTCATCGGTTGCAGTTGCAGTTGCACATTCCCTGGCAGGATGTTCGCTACCCAGGATACCATTTTGAAGCTGCTGACCCTCTGCGCTTTGGCGCATTCTATTACCGCCTATGCGCTGCAGGAGAAGACCCCCGCATCGGGATCTGCATCTGCTCCGCTGGACCCCAGTCACAAGTATCTGATTGTGCGGGGAGAGAGTCCTATCGGAGCCTCCGCCTCCCAGGAGCATGTGGACTTTGATAATGCGGCAACTCTGCTACTGCAGGCCTACAAGTCCCAGCAGACCACGTCCCCGAATGGACTGGAGGAGTGCAGCGCGCCCAGCCACAAGCCCACCTTCTCCGGCTACGACTACGTGATTCTGCTGGGCATGCTGGTCATCTCGCTGGGCATTGGCATCTTCTACGGGTTCTTCCAGAAGGGAGGCAGCTCCTCCAACGAGTTTCTTCTGGGTTCCGAGATGAGCATCTTCCCAGTGACCCTCAGCCTGACGACCAGCTTCATTACGGCTATCGAGCTGCTGGGCAACCCATCCGAGATGTACTTCCAGGGCACACAGTTCGTGCTGATTGTGATCCCCATGGTGCTGGTCATCCCGGTGGCGGTCAAGATCTTTTACCCCATATATTTCAAAATGGAGCTCACCAGCTGCTATGAATACCTGGGCATACGCTTCGGCAAGGAGATCCGAATCTTGGGCGCAGTACTCTATGTCATACAGGTGCGTTCAGAGGATCCTCAACAGAAAGAGCTTTGTGTAACCTATCTTCCTCTATTAGATGTGCTTCTACACGGCTGTTGCTGTCCTCGCTCCAGCCATTGCCTTGTCCAAGGCCACAGGATTGGACACCAAAATTGCTGTCATTCTGATTTATGTGGTCTGCGTCTTTTATTCCTCGCAGGGCGGCATGAAGGCTGTGGTCATTGCCGATTCATTCCAGGTAAACGGACCAAAGAAAACTCCAGGGATCCATTTTGTAACCTATTTTCAATCCTTTTCAGGCTGCAGTCCTGGCTGTGTCTCTTGTTTTGATTGTGGGTCTCGGCAGCTACTACAGCGGGACTCCCATTCAGGTCTTTCAGAAGGCTGCCGAACTCAATCGCTTGGAGTTCTTCAAGTAAGTTTTACACCCAGAAACCCTTTTGCCTTTCCCTTCTAATTGTTTGCACTTTTCCAGCATTGACCCCAGTCCCACGACCCGCCACACCGTTTGGTCTGTGGTCATTGGCGGCTTCTTCTACTGGACATCGCTGTTCTGCACCAACCAGGCCTCCGTCCAGAAGTGCATGTCACTAAAGTCCTTAAAGCTAGCGAAGATTGCTCTGGGCTTTGCCATTATAGGTTTGATTGCCGTTTTCCTGCTCAACTTTTACACGGGCTTGATGGTTTTCAACCACTATGCGGACTGCGATCCCCTGACGGCAGGTCGCATCTCGGCCTCCGATCAGTTGCTGCCTTTCTACGTGATCAATACGTATGAGCACATCTACTCCATTGCGGGCATCTTCGTTGCAGGCATCTTTGCGGCTAGTTTAGGGTAGGCACCACCACACTTGTGGAGCTCTAAGAACCAGCACTGATTATACTTTCTCTTGCCTCCAGAACTGTGGCATCTGCCTTGAACTCCCTGTCCGCTGTGACCTGCGAGGATCTGCTTGCCAATGGCATGAACATCAAAATCTCTCCGGAGAAGGGAGCAACCTATGCCAAGTGGATGTCCTTGGGCTACGGTATTGCCTCCTTCGGACTGGTGTTCATTGTGGAGCATCTGGGCGGCGTGTTGCAGGCTACTCTCACATTGAATGGCCTCATCGGTGGCGTGACACTGGGTCTGTTTGTCCTCGGTATTGCCTGTAAGCAGGCCAACACTAAGGGAGCCTTCTATGGCGGGCTTCTATCGCTGATTCTAGTGATCTTTGTGGGTGTGGTGGCCCAGATAGCCAGTGTGGAGCCACCTCCGCTGGCCACATCCATCGAGCACTGCGATTGTCATGTGAATGTGACCAGCATTATCGAGGACTTGCTCACCGAATCAATGAATCCCATTGAGCAGGAAGGATTCACGTGAGTTTGGCTTTTGTTTTCTAACGTTTCGATGGTTATTTGAATCAGTTATTCGATTCCTTGCAGTTCCTGGCCCATCTTCCGGCTAAGCTATATGTGGTATAGCATGATCGGATGCCTGTTGACAGTATTCCTAGGATGGTTCATCTCCCTGATAATCGACTTTAAGCAACGACGAAATGTCCTGAAGATCACCGGCAAGGGCATCGATAACGAAGGCGTTTCCGATGAGGTGTTCAAGAGCGACTCCCAAGTGCAGTACACCACCAACAGCACCATCACCACCACCACAGCGGTAGACCCACCACTCCCACCCACAACCAAAGAGACTACAAGTGACGAGGGGCATGTGAATCATGCCATACGCATCGACGACGAATAGAATCGAATTCGAATTTGGCTTGGAATAATTCCAATCCAGTGTATTCCTTGTGTAACCGGTAACCTCTATGTACAAAGACCAGTCGCAATCCTAACTGTCCTAGTTTAGTCGCAAGAGTGATTTTTAGTTTTAAGTCCAATCATAGCCCGATTGCTGCTACACCCCGAGAGCAATCTTCGACACAGTATTCTGTACACAAAATTTTTTTTTTTTTTTTAATATAGTCTCTTTCAACCGTGTACACATATATAGTTGAAAGAATTATTTGCACGGGCCAACAACGCCACCACACTTTACTAATTTTACTACGAAAGTGAATTTACCTTTAGGTTTGTTTTAAGCAACCATAAAAATAACCTTAAATAAACACATATATGTATTCTTAATCAGCAGCCGCTGACTTAAATCAAAATTCAATCTGATTTTTATGTAAAATGGAGTAGTTCCTAAAATACACGTGGCATGTATTGGATGGAGCCACTGTGCATATGTAGTTGTAATGTATACTCTACATGTCGATCAATATCGATTCTTCGCGGGAAAAATTCTAGAAAATCATTGATTTTGCAAAGAAGTTTATTTCGTTATTTAGATTCAAAAAAAAATATTATACATATATTAAATACTATAATTTCAATGCATCAATAAATTTACAATTATATATTATATGTATTGTATATTTACAGTGATCCGTCCACCGAATCACGTCACACTGATCTCCTCATCGCTATCGGAGTTGGAGTCATCGTAGTCGTCGTAGTACAGCTTCATGAACTCTGATCCCTGTTGCTGCTGTTGTTGTTGTTGTTGTTGCTGCTGCTGTTGTTGCTGCTGCTGTTGCTGCTGCTGGTGATGGTGATGCAGCTGTGCGGCTGCTGCGGCGGCCGCGAGCTCCACCTCTCGCATTGCCGTGAAGTGGGGCGAATGATGGAGCTGCTGCTGCAGTTGCTCGAACCGCCGCTGCTTCGCCTCCTGGATGCTGTTCTCCAACTTGAACTTAAGATCGGCGGCCACCAGCTGCTTCTGCATCTCAGCATTGATCTTGGCCTGAAACTCTGCCGCACTGCTCGCCCCCGGAGGCGAAGAGGCAGCCGATGAAACCGTTGTGGCTGCTCCACCCGATCCTCCCGTGGGTGTGGGCGTGCCCGACTGATCGCTCATCTTGAGGCTGGTGAGCAGTGGGGGCGGCGAGCTCATTTGCATTCCATATCCCGCCGACGGATGACACGGAGAGCTCCTGCTGCTGACGGACTGCGGTGATTTGGGTGTGACAGCAGCCGGCGGCGGTTCATCCTTGGCAATGGCACCGGGCGGGGGTGTGACACTGCCATTGGGCGAGAGCAGGGAGGGGGAAATCGGTGTGAGGGGTCGATCGCACTTGGCATCGGACAGATCCGGATTGGGATTGTTCTTGTTGGGCAGCGTCTGGTCGCGGGAACCGCCGCTGGCCAGCAGCTCGCGCTCCTTGGAGTTGCGCCACTTCATCCGGCGATTCTGAAACCAAATTTTCACCTGCAAACGAAAGGGGATTTAACGATATAGACATAGATATGGATTCAATCTTGCAATGAAATGGGTAAATTAAGACTGTCCATCTTCGGATGGAGAGCTGTCTGTCCCAGGCAGACCAAAAATCCAGGGAAGTGGCAGTGGCAGTGGCAGTGGGCTGTAGTTTCCCCTAAAAACTTTTCATGGCCACAGGGGCGGATGAGTTCCAATTCCTTCAACGTTTTCCGGTCACAAAACAACTTTTCCCCTAACAAAAAACTTTTCTGTGGCAAATTGAATCTACCTACCGGCCCTCCTCATCCTATTTCTGGTTATGTTGTCGTGTGTGTGGGCGTGGCCCTGGCCAGAGGAAAAGTTTGAACTGCAATGCCAGCGCCAGACGCCGAGCATATCCATAATAAATGCAAATTAGAGGCATTTCCCCAAAACCGGCAACAAATTGATTAGAGGCCGCACAGTGGTACACACAAAGTACTGCGAAAATTGTGCCAAAATATAGACACATAGAGGCTGCACAGTGGGCCACACATTAGGGGAATAGGTACTACGAAGTCTGTGGTAGAATATGAAAAAGTTTTTACCCGAATTTGCTGACTATTTCGGTCCCACTGTTTAGGCCACAAAGTTAGTCCGGCAAAAATTCTGTAAGTTTACTATCCATCTGCCTCTCTAAACAGTCTCGCTCTGTCTCTCTCTTTCCCTGTTGCTTGCTGCATTTGACAGGCAAGCAGCGCATAGGCACAGACCCTTGAAGCAGATTGCAGGATACCCTGAACCTGGACCCCCCCGGACCTGGACCGTGCCTTGGCCCACCACCACCTCGGCGACTGTTTTTGAGTTATTATGCAGTGGGTGTTGCGTCCTTGTTGTGCTGCCTCTTGTGCATGCCTATGACACAGCAGGACATTCGCACTTTGTTGCAAAAGCCAAACAATTTGCAACAATTTATGGTCAGAGCACTACTCCTTCTTCGGTAATTAGATTGTGACTTGATGTGAAATTTTCAAGCAAACTGATGCGTGAAATTGGGAAATGCGGGGAAAGGCCATTGCCGTTCCCCACCCACACTCACTCGTACACCCTAATCTCTAAACATTTATAAATAAATAAGTAAAGAGCAGCCGAACAAAAAGTTGCTGACATGTTAAACAAGCGATTAACCGCAGAGATTTCTTCGGCATCAGATTTTTCCCCGGGGACACGTGCCAAAAATTTTTTCAGTTTGCTGTTTCGCTTACTTCCGGTCATTGAGTTTTCCAGCGCTAAACCCACCAAACCACCAACCCACCAGTGGGAACCCAGCAATCCAGCCAGCAACCCCATCCCCTAAGCAATTGAAATAATAAGCTCAGGCGGCGATAAGATTAATGATTATGGGTCCAGCCCAAAGTCAGTCGTAACTGGGGGACAGACTTTGCTCTAGCCACCGAACCACTGAACCGCTGGACGACCAACAGCCACCGTCGTCATCGTCATCGTCTGTTTCTGATGGAAATTAATTATAAAGCGTGCAATTTAGTATGCCAAAGAGTGAGAGAGAGGGAGACAGAGGCGGCTCGGAAAATTGGGCAGCGTACTTCCGTTCTGTCGCAGACTTTTCTATTTATACTTTCTCGGTAGCAGCCAAGTTTAATGAGCTTGAAATTATGATGTTTGCCTTCGGACAACAGAAAGGGAGAACGGAAAGAAAGACTGCGTATACTTGTACTTGTATAGAACCTGTTCTAGTTAACCCGATGTGCGATGCTGTAATTATTCCGCAACGGAAATTCCTCAATCAACAACAACAAAAACAGCTCGTATGGAAATTGTATAAATACACGTATCAATTGCATTCCATGGTTACCGAAACGAGTCGAGTTTAGTTCTATTATGGGACTTGCACTCCCCCGGCTTGTTAACAAATATTGGCCATGTAACGACTGTGCCCCTGCCCCGTCCCTGCCCCGTCCCTGCCCCGTCCCTGCCCCCGTCCCTGCCACCGAGGCGGACATCATACATATAATTATTGTCTAACACAAAAATATTCGCTTAATTTTTGCCGGTCAGTAAATAATTAAATTTATGCAAATACTCGTATTTATGGTGGCGACAAAAACTAAAATTCAATTGTTGTGCCTGGTAATTAGGGAAATGTTTTTCTAAAGGCTTGTTGCGGTCGGAATTAAATGGTTTAACTAAGTGGGTAATTATCCGGAGATGATGATTATATAATAGAGTTTATGTTTGGGATTGTCGGAATGCCTCACTGACGATTTGTTGATAAGAATCTAACATTGGTTTTCCAATCTTCAAACTGTACCCGACTTTTGCTGATACGAGTACTAGGATCTTCTAGGGATTGGGAATCCCAATAGGAATCCTATGAATTTCTCTTCTAATCTTTATCTCCTTTATTTCAGTTATCGTTTCAATCAAAACCAAATGAAGTTCTTAAGCACTTTCATATCCAATTCCGGCTAAACTGTTTCCCACTTTGTTAAAGACCCACACATATTATGCTCCCTCAACGCAGTCCTTCCCATCTTCCCATCCCATTCCATGGACCGTAAGCCAAAACGATAAGTAACATATTTTTCTGACACGCTGCCAGCATAACGCGCATGGAATTTGTTTGAAGTTTTTATAAACCACCCAGAAGAGAGTCGGATGGTATGGTTCTCTACGGTGGGAGTTGGTAAGCGGGTCGCTCAGTCAGTTGGCTACAAATTGCTTGGCCTCCTGTCCCCTGTCCCCTGTCCCCTGTCCCCGTCTACTACTTTTTTCTGCCCGAAAATTGACTTTGGGCAATGAGCACAAGCTGTTGTTGGCGTTGCGATGCGATGAGGGAGGATGGAATGAAGATGGGAATGGGAGTGGGAATGGAGTTCCCCCCCATTCGAGATTCTGACTTCTGCCAATCTCGTCCGGGGCAACATATGTTAACTAATGAGGCTGGATCCGGGATGGCTGCTCCCGGGGATGACTGCTCTCGGGGGTGGCCTGCTGTCAACCCATTGCGGCCCCCGAAATGTCATTCGATATGCGACGTAATAGCGTATTAAATAGTCTGCTACTATTTGCCAAAGTCATTTCAACAGCAGTTGGCAGTGCGTTTTGGGTTACTGGCCATCGTCCATGGTCGATTTGTCCATTTGTCCATTCCAAACCATCCTCATGCCGCTCCTCGTTGTGGTTATTGTTTTAGTGGGGGGCCAGAAGCTGAAGTGTTTGCAAAATACTTTGGATTGTGGCGGGCGAGCATTTATTTAGCAATTTGTCAACAATTTATTTTGTAACCAAAGCTGCAAATGATGGTTTTTAATGTTCCTCAATCGTTTTTGCGCGTAGAGGGTGCGAGGGTGTACGAGACGGGTGGGGAAGGAAGGAATCAGGAATTGGCAAATTGAAATGAAATTTGAGCTATGAACATGTTTCGGGTGTGTTTAAGTGTTCTTTGATTGCAGACAAGTGAAATGGAAATGTAAATTGAATTGGTATTAATGGGGATTCAATCCCTAGAAACTTTGTGTGGAGCGAAAGAACTTCAAGATATCTCAAGTCATAATAATAGTTCGAAGGTGTGGAAACTTATAGCGAAACTTTATGAAATGTGACTACTACGTTAAGAGCTTTTAGATTTGTGGCTATAGCTGTCCTACGGTGGGTTATTGGGAAAGACCTTAAGATCCTTAAGAGCTGAAGAGCCCCTCAACAACTTAAACTCATAAACTTTTTTATATAATAGAGAGATAATTGTAAGCAATATAATATATTTAATTACTTTTAAGGATATCTCAACCCCAAGACAAGTCGTCGGGAATTTCAGAAACCATCTTAAACTGAATATGAAATGGAATCATCATTTGCCGGCTACTAAAAAGGATAACAAGGCTCA